TTATGACCCTCCACCATGGAGGGTCAGACTCATGCATACCCATGTACACAGCTGCTCAACGCCCAGTTTCTACGTAGGACAATATTCCCAACCCAGATGTCCCCCGCCTTGAGGTCTCTCCCTTGGGTTTTCTCCCCAGAGCGACCCAACAAGCTGACCCACCACCAGCCATCATTGTCAGGGTCAGCCTGGGGGGGGGGCCTGTGCTGGCGTGCAGGATCGCTCCCCCCTCAGAGGCCCTTCCCGGGTGCGGGAGGACACCCACGCACGGCAGCAGGACTCGGCCAAGCACGCAGCACGGCCAGGGATGTGCTAGTGCAGAGCAGAGCCAAGACGAGGCAAGATGGTGTTACTTCAGGACACGGTGCTGGCCTCCCCCGCTCCCTGGGAAGGGTGGGGTGGTTTTTTTTTTTTCTCTCTTTTTTTGTCTCCTTTTTCCATCTTGACCATTTGGAAGTGCAGGGCAGAGCTGATCCCTGCTCCGCTCCGCAAATGAGACCACCGTTGTGATCAGCAGGACGACTAGGAGGAGGGCCAGAGGTCTCATGGAGAGGGTTTGAGCCAAGTGTCCCTCGAGCATGGGGTGTTTCTGGCTGTGTGTTTATTCTGGTGGGGTCTAAGCTCCTGCCTGATGGATTACCAGGCATGAGCAATCCTGCCAGCACTCGTGTCTGTGCTGCCAGTTGTTGTTTCTTACCTCTTTTGGATACTTTGCTTAAATCTCCAGCTTCTGGAGTCAGGTGAATAAGAGCGATTCCCAACATCCATGTTAAATAGAGGGCTGTGCTGCTTCTGGCTGCAGAGGAAGCCGGTCCCAGGGCTGCTGGGGGATGCAGGGAGCACTACAGTAGGACAAGCTGTGGGCTGCAGCTCTTCGCAGGTAAGACACAGTCTCCTTGGGCAGGCACAGTTTCAGAGCACTCTCATTTTTTGGTCCTTGCCATGACAGCACTTTAAGCTAGTGCAAAAGTCTTTGGGGTGACTGTGTTGGCCTGGGGATGGGATGGGATGGGATGGGATGGGATGGGATGGGATGGGATGGGTGGAAGCCCCATTCATTTAAAGGTCTGGCCTGAAGATGATTGTTCTTTACACCTGCAAATCTCAGAAGCTGGCTTAACTGGGCACTTGAGGATCTTTGAAGCATTCTCCTTAGCAGTCCCTAGGTCTCCTTCTCCGACAGCTTCAGCAGGCAGGGTCAGGCCAGTCCACATGAGCTGGAGCACTCCAGCACCTCGACCTGGAGCTCAGCATTTTGGAGCCGTGGTTAGCCGGGTGTTAGCTGGAGCCTTTGAATGGGCTGAGCTCAGCTCCCCCCGCAGCTGCTCTGCAGCGTTCCTCCCACGCAGGCGTCCCGAGAGGCT